GATATAAGTCAACCAATCTAGTAGCATTACGATATAAGTCCACCAATCTAGTAGCATTATGATATAAGTCAACCAATCTAGTAGCTTTAGGATATAAGTCAACCAATCTAGTAGCATTACGATATACGTCAACCAGTCTAGTAGCATTACGATATAAGTCAACCAATCTAGTAGCATTAGGATATAAGTCCACCAATCTGGTAGCTTAAGGATATAAGTCAACCAATCTAGTAGCATTACGATATAAGTCAACCAATCTAGTAGCATTACGATATACGTCAGCCAATCTAGTAGCATTATGATATAAGTCCACCAATCTAGTAGCATTATGATATACGTCAACCAATCTAGTAGCTTTAGGATATAAGTCCACCAATCTAGTAGCATTATGATATAAGTCAACCAATCTAGTAGCATTACGACATACGTCAACCAATCTAGTAGCATTATGATATAAGGCAACCAATCTAGTAGCATTAGGATATAAGTCAGCCAATCTAGTAGCATTAGGATATAAGTCCACCAATCTAGTAGCATTAGGATATAAGTCAACCAATCTAGTAGCATTAGGATATTGTATTAACAACATGTGGGCGGAGTGCAATTTAGCAGTGTGTAATGTATCATGGGATTCCTAACGGACGGAAGTTTTGAGAAATTCCTAGATATGACATTTTCCTGCTTATTAGTGAAATATTTGGAAGACAACAATATATTAAATTCAGTTATAAAAGAGTTATCGAAACGATATACTTTTTTTTTAAAGTAGATAAGACTTAAGCTGACCTCTGTCATTAGCCGATAACGGAAAGCTTCTGCCTCAATTATTCACTTCTTCTGTCGTTCGGAAGGCACATCTTGGGCACAGCTCCAAAATCATAAGAGGTTTGCAACGTAACATTATACAGTTAGAGTAACAGAAATACTTTTTGTCATTGTCCTGTGTTTTTCTCGTTTTTGGGTCGGATGTGAAATGTATTGATTGAACGATGGCTCGATATTCACGGCGTTTTATTAAAACTACAAAAAAATGCATTTTATAGTAATGTTTATTTAGAAATAAGGTTTAACTGATAAACATATATTACTGACGAGATGATATGTATCGAAACAAGCAGGTCTTGATGGGCAAAGGTTGGTATTTTTGTGTTTTATTAAACGATGGTATGGTGTCTAGCAGTAGAATATTCAGCGGCACTGTTGAAGCATCAGTTATTAGACAGAGTTGCTACACCATCTGGGAGCAGCATTGCAGTACCGTCTCATACGACACTGCTTTGCTCTCTAATGACAGATTTAAAGCGTCATTTATCATGCTTCACTGATACGCCTTCTGATGGAAGTGCTTCTGTAAGGAATTTAGCTAGCAGTATGATGCCAATCCTAATACAGCACTGTTGCGCCATATTGTGGCACTGCTACCCCATCTGGTGACAGTAGATAAGTACATGTCGTAACACAGCACTGCTACCCAACTGGTGACCTTAGAGAAGTGTATGTCGTAACACAGTACTTATACCCCCTCTGGTGGTAGTAGTGAAGTGTATGTCGTAACACAGTATTGCTACCCCATCTGGTGACAGTAGATAAGTGTATGTCGTAACACAGTATTGCTACCCCCTCTGGTGGCAGTAGATAAGTGTGTGTCGTAACACAGTACTTATACCCCCTCTGGTGGCAGTAGTAAAGTGTAATTCGTCATACAACAAAATTACACCCTCTGGTGGCAGTGGTAACACGTTAGTCATCACACTGTCTTTTACGCCCTCTGGTGACAAATACATATTAGTGTATGCCTAGTTTTTATCGTTCTTCTGTACGTCTCTGTCATCAATTACTATATATGAGATATGTGATTTGTTAATAACTTACTTCCGGACGTAAGTATACTAACATTGTGAACGAATTTTCCTTTTCGTTCTGATTATGTTATATACAAAACAAAAAGCAAAACAATAAACATTGTTTCCTCAAGCGAGATTCCCTCAATTATTTTGAAAGATGTAGGTTATGTTGCATTTATAATGGAACGATATCGGGGAATTAATGGAAATAAGGTTCAGAAGGTCAGTGCTCTAACGTGTAAGCGTGCAGATTAAACGATGTCAGTTATCTAATATAGCATGTGATGACAGTTATAATAAACGCAATGTATTCTGGTTTCAATCAGAAATTAACATTCCAAAGGGTATTATGTACATTTGTAATATAAATATACTTCTACCTGATAGTGTAGATTACTAACCGCTAAATTAACGTAAAGACACGCCAAATTGTATTGTTTACCTTTTCTGAGGTGTTCTGAAAAGCCGTCTACAGAAAGAATGCAATTGCCATAAGTGGGGATTACGAATCTCAGAACAAGATATATTTCAGCAATTTTGTTTTTACCAACCTCCATGTTGGCGTGTCGTTATGTTAAATGAGCAAACAAGTCATTGCTATATGTGACATTCTACTTATCATGTATAACATGTTTTATATATATGTGACATTCTACTTATCATGTATAACATGTTTTATATATATGCAAACTGGAAAAAGGACTCAAAAGGTAGACCAATGTGTTTTGGGAATATTTCATTGTAACGATTTTCGCCGTTATGATCATCGTTAGCTGTTGAAATGGCTCACCTCACATCAATCACAGATAAATACTTACAGACATTTTATCATAATAAATTTCTGTCATTATTTCTATTTTATCAATTCATTGCATCGCAGAGATATAGAAATGAACTACTTTTATCAGTTTAAATACTTGAGTCTAGTTATCCAGTAATTTAAGGTTACTTACACAGTGGAAGTGTTTTCCCATACATACTGTAATTTAATTGCCCTGTTATTCAAAACGTTCTGTTCCCCCAATAACTTACTGTGTTGTATTATACAGATTTTTGAACGTTAAAGTTTTTATTCTTTAATGTATTTTGAAAACACCTCATTCTAGCTTCTCATAAGTAACTACGCTGCAGAGAGACACAAGCAGAGAGAGATTCTACAATGCGTTTTAGGACTTTAGTCTTGCTTTTCCTGAGAGACATGAAGAAGTGTTTTCCTTATTAAGTACTTTAATCTCCCGTAATTATGTCTTTATTGATATTTCTCCGCTATTATCAGCTGTGATTGTACCAGTACGACTGCTTCTACGACTATATATTCTTACTTACACTAAGTAAAGCAGCCCCTGTGTGACCTGCTCTGGGAAACGACACAGTGTTTATTATCAGATAAAATAACTATTTTGATGCTTCCCCGTGTTGTGTTTTTCATTGTGACACTATGATCATAACAAGTATACAATGGTTATTGTATGCAAAATAACAAGGTTACATGTACGTGGTATACGATCGAAATCCTTTATACCTTCTTAGACTTGGCTACAACAGCAAGACCAGGAACCAATTCTTTGTCGACTGCATATGAACTATTTTCAGTTTAAAGGATACATCTGCTTTGATGTTAAAAAATACCGATTTGGATGATCAGGTCAGTTCTTGTTTAATTGTTTGTTTAGCAGCATAGGGATAATCAGACAACATTAATGATAATAGCGGCTAATAGAATGAAGACATTGGACGCAAACATGGACGAGCAATGAGGGCATGAAGTCACCACAATGGTGTTAGAAGACCAACAGAGACGAGCACTATCTTTACATTCAACCCTAACAGGCTGTACATATTTATCTCACAATTAATCTAGAACAGAATACATGTCCAAAATATCTGAGATAAAAATACTGCTTATTATCTGGAGGCCTGGACACAATGTACGGCTTTGGAAAGCTTGTAATGACATCATTTAACCGGTAGCATCATATACTTTTTGGAAATGTATCGAAAATGACATTTTTGACCTACTTTTTGAGACTTTTGAATGAATCCCTTTAAGACAGACAATGGCAGCATCTCCTATAATGGCGTTTACACTTATGGACCATTAGTTCAGGTATGCAGAAAGCATACCTTTATTTTACAGTGCATACCTGGAAATAACAAGAAGATTGCATTCAACATTACATACGTACACCATTGAGGTTATCAACACCATAACACCCACGAGATATTAAGGAAGGCTGTGCCTGCCTTGATCCCCGTTTGGTAATATTGGAGTTGTGCGACAGCTCTCGGTACACATACGTAGACGGAGTTTCCTAACGAAGTGGCTCTATTTTTCGCCGAAGTCTGTTTACGGCTGTTTACTAAAATGACCTTGTTGCATGCGAAATGTATTTGACGATGTGTGCCCAATTCCTATGTACACACATAGGTAAAAGAAAGAAAAAAATCAATTAATATTAATTTGGAGGATCAGGACAATCTACCCTGACATGTAGAATGTGGCCTCCGAACTCAGTCAAGACTAGATTCTCGCTCAAATTTTACACTTCGGTTATTAATTAGTTCTTGCCAGCAATTACAAAGCTGACAATAAGTGGTTCCCTCAACACGACATTTGATTTGTATACACAGTGAGTTATGTGATATGTTAGTTAAAATGTCATCGTCAATATTAATGCATTAATATGATATAAATATTATCATAAATTGGAAATAGAAAGCAAATATACACATCCAAAACACCAATGATATTTAAAACGAAACCACTTGGTCAATTGACATGTTCATTACAAAGATTAACTTACAAGTGATGAACATTTACATGTAGTACGAATCAATATCGTAAATAAATCCCCAACGCAGTATTCCTCTTATTAGCTGTGCTATATATGGAAGGTTGACAAACGTACATTGTATGTCTCGTGATGAAATATTGATACAGAAGAGACCTGATCAAACCAAACCATGATTAGATACGCAGGCGAAGAATTGGTGTGTACCACATGAGATGTTGCTCGATAAACCATATTTTATACCGAACGTATTATGTTTATACAAGTGAAACACAACCATCCGAATACAATAAATTGTCGCTACGAACCGATAACGATATAAGTAAACCAAAACCAGATCTGCTGAACACTTTAATTTCTAAAAGAAAAATGAAATACACCACGACAAAATTGTTACTAATGGTACATACAATAGAAACAGAAGAGACACGAAAACATATGGAGATACAGCATGAACCCACACAGAAATGGAGCAGAAACAAGCTGCTTGAAGTATGAAACCTGATATAGTATAGGGACCACAGAACCAAATCAGGACATAGATTGTGGGTTTTTCCCTCTTGGTTAGAAGATTTAATAGAAAGGTGAATGCCTCGGCTGGTTGGATACTAAGGTAGCAGAAGTTTCAAAAGTTGTATGTGTGGGTTGCGCAATATATATAGATGTAATATGTATAAAAAAAAATCAAAACAAAAAATAAAGTCTGCCTTTGTCTGGGTGAGTTTGTTAAGTGTGTAATTTGAGGTAAATTTTGGTCGATTTCGGTGCCGAATTCAATACAAGATGGCAGCCCTCATATAAAAAAGTTCAAATAAGCAGAATTTTTAAACATTTTGTTTACAGTTGTGTGGGATGCTATTCTTCAAAATGAGGGCAGGTAAACCAGTGTGGATAACCTCATTTAACCAGGACAGTGGCAAACGTTAACACTGTCGTCTATGGAAAATCATTTGGTTCTGTGGTCCGTATACAGGCATGTCGTACGTGTAACATCATTGTGACAACGTCAACTACATTTTACCTCGTCCCTGTTTATGGAGCAATCCTTCATCAACTACAGTAGGATATTACCTGTAATGAGTGAGATATTACCAGTAATGAGGGAGATATTACCTGTAATGAGTCCTTCATCGACTACAGTGGGATATTACCTGTAATGAGTGAGATATTACCAGTAAGGAGGGAGATA